ATGCCAGAGGGAAGTTGCCATTCAGACTGCTTTAATAGAAATTGACCTAACTTCCTTCCAGGTCACAAGCAGAGTTATTAAAACCCGGGCAAGGGCAGGGCTCCGGAACAGTTTACATAATGATGCCATAGCATCCCTTATGCTGGCCATCTAAAGTTTAGCTGGAACAAACGCTGCCAATTTGGAAAGTAGAAGTTACCTCAATAGATGTTTAAGATTAAAAAATAAAAATAAAAATCTTCGAAATGATTGAAGACAAGAACACACGATTGGGCAGAGGCAGTCTAAGTAGTTCTGCGATCAGAGGGAACTCAGTAGGACTGGTCTGAAGTCTAATTCAGAAAAGGTGGAAGATACAAAACCACAATGCCAACTGGGGCAGGAGGAAGTGTCTGACAGTATGTCGTAGCCTCTGTACCACAGGAAATAAGAGGATTGATCAGTGTGGCACAACAAACTGACCAAAGGGAGGGACTGATGCTAGCTGGAAAGCAAGTATTGGAACTGAATTAGCTGAAGTAGGGAAAAGAGCAAAACGTAAGAGTTAGTATTACAGTGATAAAACTTTAAGAGCACAGCTTCCATAGCAAACTCTCACCTTCTTCTTCTTCTTAAGAGGTCTGGTTAGTGCACTGTAATGCCATGTTTCTAAAGTCTTAGTCATATGCATTCACTATCCCCTGTGACTTGTGCTGGATTTTTCAGGGTTGAATACAGGCAGTGACCATTTCAGGCACGTCCGATATGTGCACGATCACACATGCTCACATTGCGCCAAACCTGGAAGTGGCCTCAAAATGGGGTGTTTGCAAGCTTTTTCGATTGTGTTTCAAATATACACAATTTCATTTAAATGCGTTGGAATGCAACACCTACGTAAATTGAGGGGTTGCTTGTGTACTTTTCAAGATGACCCTGATATGTAAATTGTGATCTGCAAAGCCAACTGATTCAGTTGCAGCACAATCAGCTTCCTTGTTTACAACATAGACTGTACTCTCACTTTTCTCCTGAGATTTTGCCACCCCGTTGTCCATGCAATAGTTACACGTTCCTCCTCATTAGTGTTTTGCTCTTGCTATAATGTTGCTTTGCTAAAATGTTTGCATGGAAACATAGCACTTCCAGGGGAAGCCTAATGAACATTTATGCTCAGCAATTAAAAGACCTCTGAAAATAAAGAAAGCTAGACCAGTGTTTCCCAACCACTGTTCCGCAGCACACTAGTGTGCCGCGAGATGTTGCCTGGTGTGCCGTGGGGAAAATTCGAATGATTTTTTTTTTGTAAAAGTCAAATTAGGTCCTAATCTATCCCTCGAGCGCCTCTTGTCCGTTATTGTGACGCATGAAGCGTGTTCCCGCCCACTCCCCGCCCTCCCTTGCTTCTCTCTCTCTCTCTGTGGCATTCTCCGCCGCTTCCTGCTGGGCATGCGCAGCTCGCCTCGCGCTTCCATTCCGGCCCCTCCTTCCCCCGACTACCCCGCCGCTCCGTTCCTTTCTCTTTCTCGCGTGTCAGAGAGCGGCGGCGCGAGCGCGGCGGTTCCCTCAGGGCTGACGGAGGGCTCGAGGAGGAGGAGGCAGGACGTGGAGGCGGAGAAAGCTGCGGCGGCCACCCCCCACCTCCAGCTCGAGGCCCGCGTAGAAAGCTGAGGGGGAGAGATAGATAGAGGTGGGCGGCGGCGGCGGCGGCGACCACGACCAACCGCCACAGTAGTTGTAGCGGTGGCGACGGCGAGCAGGGACTCCCGCTCTCTCTCCGTCGTGTCTCTCTCTCTCTCCCGGGCCTGTCCGTTGAGTCTCCCGCGCGCCTCGGCTACAAGATGAGCATCGAGATCCCGCCGGGTCTGACTGAGCTGCTGCAGGGCTACACGGTGGAGGTGCTGCGGCACCGGCCGCCGGACCTGCTGGCCTTGCCTCCGAGTACTTCGCCAAGCCGCGCTCTCCTTCCTGCCTCGCTTTGCTGCCTCCTCCCCCCCACCCCCAAAGCTTGGAGGTTCCCCGGCGCCGACCCGCAGGTTTGACCCCCTTCTCACACCTGTTCGCGCTCCTTGCACGGAATGGGGCGGATGGGGAGGAACGGGGCTCGCCGCTGCCTCCGCTCGCCCTCCCCCCCTCCACCGGCGGTCCCGCGATTCTTGGCTTTTTGGCGGTTGGCACAGAAGGAAGGCAAGGGGGAGGGGAAAAAATTGAATCTTACACTTTCGTGCGTCCCTCCCGGCGTGACGCTGCGCGCTGACGTCATGGGACTGTAATGGTGGTGTGCCTCGAGATTTTTTTCATGAAACAAGTGTGCCTTTGCCCAAAAAAGGTTGGGAAACACTGAGCTAGACAAATACCTGTGGAATAGCACCGTAATTCCAGATGTATCCCTTGTGGGGAAAGACATTAGCGACATAACGTAGTTTTCCTTTCTTCACATCCTGCTTAATTGGGTTTAGAGGATCTTTGGTTGCAATCTGAAAAAGAATTAGTTTAAGTTTAGCATTAACAGAAGAATGTACAAACAATCCAATTTTAGGATGGTATTTTCCCTACAGGTGCTTCAATTCACATTTTCAAAGTAAATTAAATATTCAAATTGATAGCAACCATGAAATCTCAGAAGTCCAATAGGGCTTGTTCACGAATAGTGTGCATAGTCCTGCAGATTTAGAATAGCTGCCTATTTCTTTATTACTAACTAGTTGGGAAATTTCAAATTTCAGAAATGCTGACGCAGAATGGCTTTATCTTTCACGGATAAGATGACCTTAATGAAGAGGCAGCCACCAAGCCAGGAACTACAGCTTTCCAAATACATAATGCCATTACCTCCATCTTAGCATTGGTCCATCGAGGTATTTCCACAACCATGTTGAACACATCCTGAAAAGAATAAGAAACCAGAGGTATATACCATATCCATGTAAATCTAGAATTGAACATTTAATTTTGTTTATTAAAATTATAACTGTCTAGATAATAGATCTTAAGTAAAAATAGCAAAGCCATCGGGATTTCAAGTAATTTCCCCCCCTAAGTGCTGCAATAAAGGAATGGGGTGAAAACTATACAGCTTTCATGCATTCATCAGTGGGGGAGACAATTTTGTCTTTTGACGCTTTCGATCCATAATGAAAGCAAAAAAGACCAACCACCTGGTATTTCGTTGCATAACTTGATATTTAATGGAGACCATTACGCAAGAGACTATTGCACAGATGCAAGAACACAATCAAAAGTTCAATGATTGAAGATCACTATCATGCTAATGCATTTTGCTTTCAATGGCAGGTTAAGATTTTACATGTCCAGATTTTCTTTTCTTTTTTTTAATAAACTGCATTTACATAGCAGCCACAGAAGAGCAAATTCCACCCTGGCAGAAGAAAGGATAACATCATTTAGGATTATCCATCGAATACAGGAATGAGCAACCTGGCTGGCATGACGTATCAGGGACACTTCTCACAACAATTATTTCAAATGTGCCTTTTTTAAAGCTAGAATTCTGACAGGCATTTTGAGACCTGCAAAGGAACCTCACTCTGCAAATCCTATGCAGGTCTACTCAGAAGCAAAATGGAGGTTACTCTTAAGTATGTGGGATTCTGGACTAAAAACCTTTATTAGGTAAACACATCACGCCCACAAATACCTAGCTCGTATCTCAGAAAATTATCTAATCAGACTTCAGTTTCCTAACACCGTTCGAAGAGTGAATTGGCTTCAATTTTATCAACAACCTACTTTGAGAACAAGGTGGGAGGGGACATCCCTTCTTCCTTCAGAAGGAAGAAAAATAGCTTCTTAAGAAGAGAGAATTAAATGTGCTAAAAATTATGCAGGCATGAGTCAAGTGGATTGGAACCACCTTGGAGCCTTGAGGCAGTATCCAAAGCTCCTGTTCCCCTAACACAAGAGATTTGTACTAGGGTAATACAACTTCCCCATCCTGTCCCCTGCAGCTCTCAAAATCAGCTCCAGAGGCTTGAAGGACCCTTTGGGGAAGGTTTTGTGGAGTGCGGGGGGCGGGAAGGGAGGAAAGAAACAGAAGCGCAACTGCATCAGCAAAACGCCACTGGTACTGCTCTGGATGCAGCCCATATAAATTACAAACAAGCCTGCAAGTATATTAAAATAATAATGGATATATTTATGACAGAAGCCCAGACAGTTCTGTAGCTATTTCCTGAGGCAAAGAGAGCCCCTCACCCTTTTCATACATAAACATAAGCAGCATTCCAGTTTGCCATGCCCTGGCAAGCACAGAAAGGTACAACGAGGCCATATACATTTAAAATACGACGAGGGCAGCAGCCCAGGTGCTGATAAATTTAGAACCTCTCCAATCCTCTCAAGATCTTAAGAATACGAGGATTAGGAGCAAGAGCTGTAGACGAGACTGGGTAATGTAACCTTTTGCCCTAAACTGGACTCCCTATCTGGGCTGCTACTGAAGCTGTGGAGAACCCAGGAGAATAACGAGGAGAGCCATCCCTGCAATAAAAACAAAGAGAAGCGAAGTCTGAGAATCAGTACTGCATTGTATTGTTTAGCTTCTGGGACAATAAAATGTCTGCTTATTCTTACTAACTTTTTTACCTGTGTCTCGAACAGATAAGCAAGGGGCATAGCACATTCAAATAGGCAGGGTCTCACTGCACACAAAGTCCGTTCTGCTGCCACACGTGGATTCTTTTAAAAAACCACATGAAGCCCCTGCCTCTACTCCTTGCTCCACTGGTGGAGGTGGTTGAATTTGCAGGGTTGTTTTCAGCTGTATTTGAGCACTTTATAACTGAAGATGGAATATGGTGAACAAGGGATACCATGCATCCAGTTACAGCCAAATCCCATTCCTTCTGTTGCAAGAGTTACTGCTTGCCACATGAGGTAAATTGTGCCCAAGAGCACCAGTTACAGTGGCCATTAGTTATCTGATTTGTACATGCCTAAAATTAGCCAAGATTCTGCTTAAACATAAGTTCTCCTTTCAGTTCTAGTTTTCAACCCTGCTATTCTTTTTGCCCCCTCAGAGCTTGGCTTTTACTCTAAGGCACTGTCAACGAGATTAGATTTCCATTCTACTGTTTTATAAACTAAGCTGGTTGCACACACAGAGAGAGAAAAACCACAGGATCATTCTTGCAAAATAGTTTACAGTGTTTTTCTTGTTAATGCTGCTCTGATTGCTGATAACTAATTTGGGTTTCTTTAATAGTGAACTTTAAAAATTTGGTACAATTATGTGCTGCTCTTGTTTTGTTAGCCAACCTGGAGTTTTGATATTTATAGCCCAAAATTTGAATAGTAATGATTTTTTAAAAATATGTCATGACCTGGCAGTTTGGGCTGCTCAAATAAGACAACACTATGTAACTTTACAGTATTTCCAGAAGCCAACGTGAAGATTCCACTGCATCAAGTTATGCCTCTAGGCCTACTTGGAAACAAAAAAGTGCTGGAACAACAAAAGCTATAGAAGACGCGAAACAAACATTGTTCCATTTCAGACTTAATGCTCTTGTCCCAAAAAACTATAGTTAAGACTTGATTCCATCCTGATCTGCTTTAATGCCCATAATATATGTTGTGGTGCATTACATTTATAGTGCATGATCTTTTTGTCTTTGTCCACTGTTGAAATATTATTCTGTCTGGTTTTGAGCCAATAAATGATGGTTTATTGGGTTGATTAAACTCCTTGTGCCTGAAGTGCTCAGCCCTACTTTGATGTGCTTGTTCAATCCCTGCTTGCAAACCATTGTTTCCCAATTCAGATACAACAGAAAACTGTGGCAAAAACAAATCATAACTGCCAAAGCGGAAGGTGTGAGAAAAGAAGGAATAAGGATGTGGTGAGTAGGCAAAAAGGTACATTTTCAGGCCCCGAAAACTTGGTTTATCAGATTGAGATTGTTACATTTTGAAGCTTGCCATTGTGTACAAATATGAGCTTAAGATATCTTGCTAAGAATAATAACAACCCTTCAATACCAAACAAGTTATAGAGGAAGACTACTATCATGGATATAAAAAAAATGAATTTCTAAAATGTGGAAAGAAGGATGAGAAAGAAAACTACTGGGGGAACCTAACACAGCTAAGAAGTCAGCGCCAAGGGTTTTTCATTTTGGCAACATCACACTGTATAAGTTGGACACAAAATGCAATGAACCAGCTTCCCTTTAAGAACATGAAAATGCCAATAATATGAGACAGTTATGTATTTTCTCCTGCTGGAAGAGTCAGCCAGTTGGAAGCTTTTCTGGAGTGGCTTTTACCACTTAAAAACTTTGAGGATTTTTAGCAGACCGCTTCATGATTTTTCTGCCTGTTGTACCAATTGTAAGGCACTGTGCTGTTTTAAATTGCGTTTTCACAGACACACCATACAGCACCTAAATGAAGCATGTGGACCACTGGTGGTCTGTGGACCAGGTTGGGAACCTCTGTTCTACAGCTGAAAAGAGAAAAGTGAGTGTTGGGCTGAAGCAGGCAGTAATGACTAGTGAACAATGGTAGTAAAGGGAAGGTTGCACCCCTCCATCCCAACTTAAGAACAAAAATTAATTTGCATGCACATGCTATGTTAAGATCATTCCTCCCTTCGTGTCAAGTTTTACTTAAGTAACATTGGTTAATAAAGCCAAGGCAGTTACCTTAAGTTGTCAAGCACGGATCAGAAATTAGGTTGAAGTTGCTTTGAACACACACAGCTTGTCCCCTGTTAAGAATAAGCAACTCTACATCTAGTGACTGGGTCACCTTTATACAGTCTGCAGGGCGAATCCCCATAAAGTTCTGCTCAGTATGACCGCAAGCCTTACCTTGCGAGCATCTGGATGTATTGGAATGTCGTGGAACGGAGAAATATACTGTCCCTTATCGTTTTCTGAAAAACAAAGGAAATGTCCAAGTTTTTGATTATCTTTAATGCATGCAGTAGTAAAATAAAGCTGACAAAGTACCAGGGATAGAAAGTTTAAAGCATGTCTATAAACAAAGACAAGTTGGCACAGTCCTATCAACTAGGTTTTGTTCCAATGAAATCACTGCAACAGCAAGTGCGCTGCAGAGCTCCTACCTGCCCTAGTTTCTCAGAAGACTGGAATATACCAGTGCTGGTGCTACTAAATGTGATAGGGGTTCATCACAGCTTACCCCCACATCCATGTGCAGCTTAAAGCTCCCATCGCTAACAGCAGTGCTTCAGATAGCCTATGCAATCTCCAAGGCACACTTCCACAGTAGTCAGACACACCTGTAGACTGTGACCTGCAGCAGCCAGGTAGCCAAGCCCAGGGCTTGGGCTAGCCCTCGTTGCTGCTGCTTCTGTGCTCCAGCATAGTGCGCTCAGTTTTACAAGGTATCTCAGAAGGCGTTCTCCCTGAAGTGCAAACTACGGGAGCCTCTGGAAACAGCAAAACCTGTACAAGCAAGCGGACTCCAGCCTTATCAAATGACAACAGAGGCTGATATGATGTTGCCCTGAAATGGTTTAGCTTCTATCTCCAAAGATGAACAAAATGATTTCCTACACATATTGCACAATGATAAGGGTACTTGGATAGATGTCAGTAGATGTCACAATCCCATTACTTTTAGACCCCCTACACACCTACATGGCATTTCTCCAAGGAAATTATCACACGCAGCAACACAGTGCATGTGTGTGTGTGTCATGGACTGGGTAGGGGAGAGAGAACTGCAGCCATGTGTGCTGCACCCTTTACCTGCACCTTTCCACCCAAGCAGAATCTTTCCCTCTCATTGGGGGAGCTGGCGGGGGTGGGAAAGACCCAAATAATTGCCCCCATGCATACATTTGCTATATTTACCCACACACAAGCACAGTGGTACCTCGGGTTACATACGCTTCAGATTACAGACTCCGCTAACCCAGAAATAGTACTTCGGGTTAAGAACTTAGCTTCAGGATGAGAACAGAAATCATGCTCTGGTGGCGCAGCGGCAGCAGGGGGCCCCCATTAGCTAAAGTGGTGCTTCAGGTTAAGAACAGACCTCTGGAACGAATTAAGTACTTAACCCGAGGTACCACTGTATTGCCATGGAAATCTTGCTCCCTTTTGGCATTCCACACTGCTGAAAAGAGGACCTAGTAAGTTGCATGTGGGTTTAGGGTCACAGCTTAGCAGCAGAGAACATGTTGTGCAAGCAGAGGACCTCTAGTTCAAATGACATTGGGCAACAGGACTTGGAAAGAACTCTGACTCAGTCACTGGAGTCTCCCTTGCTAAGACTCGAAGGTGGCCAGTTCCCTGGTATCCTGTGATGAGAAAAATCACCTCCACTACCTGGACTTATCCATCTATCCAGATTTATTAGCTGAGGTATGTTTGGACTCAGAGGCTCATTTAATTTTGGACTCATGGCTTTCCTGGATTAACAGGCAAGGTTAACTGCCAGCAAGCCAAGCCAGGCTTCCACTAGAATGGATGACAGCAGGGTAGATACCTTCATGTACTTAAGACACTTTAGGGAAAAGTTTTTCCCAGCAGTCGCCAAAAACAAACTGCAAGTTGCATTTCTCAATCTAGAAGAGTACGCATCTTGGAGCATTACCTTAAAAAGGAATCTCCTGTCAAGGCATGGGATCTAGCACACCTTGTCTCAGTGTCTGCACAAATTGCTCCCATCAATGCCTCTTTTTAAATGGCTGGTGCCCTGCTTTGATATTTTAAAGGTAAAGGTAAAGGTACCCCTGCCCGTACGGGCCAGTCGTGACTGACTCTAGGGTTGCGTGCTCATCTCACTCAAGAGGCCATGAGCCGGCGCCGTCCGAAGACACTTCCGGGTCACTTGGCCAGCGTGACGAAGCTGCAGCTGGCGAGCCAGCACCAGCGCAGCACATGGAAATGCCGTTTACCTTCCTGCTATAAGGCGGTACCTATTTATCTACTTGCACTTAGGGGTGCTTTCGAACTGCTAGGTGGGCAGGAGCTGGGACCGAACGACGGGAGCTCACCCCACCGCGGGGATTCGAACCGCTAACCATGCGATCAGCAAGTCCTGGGCACTGAGGTTTTACCCACAGCGCCACCCGCGTCCCTTTTTATATTTTAATTAGTCCTAAAAAAGATATTGCCTGGGTGTGGATTTAGGAGCCTCAAGTAAAATGCTTGGCAGTCTCTCACCCCAGTGGACCTGTTTTATGATTCAGCTTTTTCAGCTTACCAGGAACATCAGCAACCTTTAAGACAAAAAGAGCCAATTGGACCCGTTTCCAAAGAAAAAACAACAACTTGGAGCCGCAAAACCATTGCGACATTTAAAACAAATATATCTCCGGAGCCGCGATCTGACAGCGGGCGGGAAGGTGATGTCGGGACGGTGCGTGACTAACGCACGCACCGCCCCCATGCGACGTCACAGCCAGTACAGCGCCCGCCACAGTGGGGAGTGTCGGGGCGCACAATGCGCCTCCTCCCCTCGCTAGTATCCGCCCCGGAGCCGCGCCAAAGATGTAAAAGAGCCACATGCGGCTCCGGAGCCGCGGGTTGCAGACCCCTGAAACTGTTAAGAAAACTTTGGATAATCGTCATTTCTTTGTGCAGCAAAAACTGAAGCTGTTTTGAGGTGGAGCACTACCAGGAAGAAATGAAAATCGCCTTAAAGGATTATACTGCGGGAGGCTTTTCATTTTACAGCCACCTTCACTGCCCATATCCGACAGTCTGGTTCAGACTTTAAACCCAACAGCTGTTTGCTCAATGGGGGAGGGTTAGAGGAGAACAGCGCACCAGGAGCTCACCTGCCAGTTATTGGGGCACCAAGGAAGGAAAGAAATTTCAAAACAGGCAGTGGAAAGCCAGCAAGCAACTCTGAGCATATACGAAGAGTATTTAAGTACACTTAACTATTCTGAAAGGTGAGGGTAGATGGAGCCAGGTGAGCTACCTTTGTAATCTCCAAACCACCTGGGTCAGATGACATAGCAAGTCAGACTCCGGCTTGTTTCATTTGTGGCACAGCAGCAAGAAACTTGGGAACGTTTGAGTTGCATGCTGCTCAGTTAACATTACACCATAGTTTAAAAACAAACTATGGTTAATGTGACATGCAAACTAGGCCATAGCCTCTTAACAGGGCATTACATGGACAGTTAATGCCATGATCAGTCATCCTAAACCACACACACACACACACAGACAACTTTTACGACAGCATCAATCCCATTCTAGTACCTTGGGCAATGACTTTCTCTTTCTCCATATATCAAGTTCTCTGTCACAGCGTCCAAGGGCAGCTGTATCTCGCACTTTCATTTCCTTCCAATTGCTCCCCTTCCCCCATCTTCTCTCCTCCTTCAGAATAGCTAAATGCTTTCAAAAGTACTCTTCTCACACAGCTAAATGTATTGCATGCTACGTTCCATGTATTTGTTGTTCTATTTTCTGTACCGCATCCTTCTGGAGTCAAAAGTGAGGGTTGGTAACTGGGGCTCAGCGAAGAATCACAGAAGTGGGGAAATCTCCACTGCCATTCTATAATAATAGCATTACAGGTTGTGATTTCATGGCTGGAGCAGCCATCCCTGAAAGTCCACATGGGAAGACAGGTGTGTTTGTATACAAGAGTTTGGGGGGCACTGAATTCAGGTGATGCACCCGTCCCAACCCCAATTCCCCAGCCCAGTCCTAGATTTAAGGGTGACTGGGATTGCAGGAACACACACCCATGCGCCAAACCTAATCCACCACCCCACCCCAAATATTAGGCCTTGGAGAAGCAGGGAAACTCCCATGACGGCAGTGCTGGTGCATTTGGGATCCCTTCCCCTTCTCTCTTGTTAAAAATCCCTGCAGAGCTATATAAAAGCTCTCTGGACAGGCCCGTTTCACGCTGACACAGCGGGCTGGCACCAGGCTACCCACGAGGGGAAACTGCAGCAGCGTCCGCAAACCCTTTGGCGCACGCTCCGGCGCTGCACGAGCCTCACAACAACCCTGCGAGGGAGGGCCCCGCGTTAGCGCCTCTGTCCCAGATAACCAGCCGCTTGCAAGGGCGCAAAACGCAAACTCGCTTCCAAATTAAACCCGCTCAGGGGCTGCGGAGAAGCCCTTTCCCTGACTGCGCCGCCAAGTTGGACATTGCAATGGCAACTTTTTCAAAAAAGCAGAGCGCCGTGGAAAGGATCCTGGATCGAGCCTCGCCGTCTATCAAAGCAATTACACGACACGATTCCAGAAGCGGAGGAGAAGGCGTCGAGGAACAAACGGAGCCCGGCTGTGGCTTTTTCCTAGGCTGCCTGTCTGCCCCACAAATGCCCTCCCGAGGGACACGCACGCACGCGCGCGCTCGCCTCCCTCTTTCATTCATCTCCCGCCCTGCGCGCTCGCGGGCGCCCCGCGCACCGGGCTTCTCCCGCAGCCCCCCCGGCTAAGCCCGCCCGGCTCCCCCGGGGGAGAACTCACTGAAGAACAGCCTGTAGCCGAGGCTGTTGGGGCAGCCGCGCTCCTCCACGCTGTAGCTGGCCATGCTGCGCCCTACCGGCTCGCCCAACAGACAGCAAAAGGAGAGTTGCTCGCTGCTCCTCCTCCCTCGAGGCGGCCTCTTATTAGCCGACGGCACGCCCTCCCAGCCGCTTTCCCCGCACTGCGCAGGCGCCCGGCCTCTCCCCTCCCTGCGCTCCTCCGAGTTTCATCATCCTCCCCACGCCGCGCCGGGCTCGGCCCCGCACTGCGCATGCCCCGTAGTGAAGAAACAACGTCCCGCCCCCTCGCAGTTCTCCCTGCCCCTCCGCTTTTTCTTCAGCAAATTTGATTTGGGGCACCTTTGACACCTTTAACGCCGCTTCACT